ACTCGTAGTTTGCCGCATATTGCTCCGCACTTGCCAGAGGCTGGGAATCGGCACGACAAGCCCCAGACAGGCCAGGGGCCTGGCGCTCGGTGGGCCAAGGCTTGGGGGCATCGAAACTTCCAACCAAGCGAAACAGCAGCCTTGACGGCTACTCTACGTAGTTATGATAGTTTGCGGTTGTACTTGTTCTAAACTACACGAGACATCAGCAACTCTCTTCGGAAGTTGGGCTGTTGGCTATGTGCGGATACACGCACGTTCTCGCTTCACAGAGGAGTCCGGAAGTCAAGCACAGCGACTTGCTGTAGGCCTACCTCACCGGGATGCCTTCGCACCATCACGCACTGCCCGGCGACTGGCGGAGTGGGCTTGGGAGCTGCCCGCGGAAGAGCGACTGGGCAAGGCTGAGGAAATCACACATCATCTCAGAACAGGTCTCAGTGCTAATTAGGCGGCATCCCGTTGATGATTCCGGGCACAAGCCCGCGAATTAAGGCTTCACTCCATGAGACACCATACAGAATTGCTGGCTGAGGTCCTGTGCCACGGCCAAGTCCGGCATGTTCGAAGTCGCCAGACATTGGAAATAAAGCGTGCACTGCTCCAGGGCACAACGTCCCGGTAGTTCCCAAAGCTTGACTCTTGCTGTGCCTTGCTGCAAGCAGGAACAGGTACGACCTTGCAGGATCATTGCCCAATACTCATTGTTGCCGTGGGCAAGATTGAAGAATGTCAAGGTAGTCGCATGGCACGTGCTATGTCGGAGTCAACAGTAGCCCAGGTCTCAACCATTGGCTCGCTCTTGGAGGCATGGCAATCGCAAGAGAGCGCTAATCGCTTCGAATCCAGCGGCTGGCCAGTTGACGGCATTTCTCGTCCTTCACGCGTGTTTCTCCTTCAACTTACTCCACAACTGGGGACTGTGCTTGTGATTGCTTGTGGGTTGTATGATGAGATGGATTAAACTATCGACGATGCAACACACAGGCTGACTGAGCACTCGTATTCGGATCCGACGACAAGAGAAGCATCCGGAGATGAGCCAGCCCACTCAACCGAAAGAGCGTGAACGAATCACAGAGCCGATGCGGAGCAGGATCCACCGGGTGCGCTGGCAGATGCCGCCAGACTGGCCTTGGCTGTCCTTGGTGACGAGGACGGATTAGGCCTTGTGCAAACTCTCAATGTCAGCTTCAAGTCCGCTCCAGCTCTGCCAAGGGATGCCAAGGGTACAGGTTCGAAAGGGCATAGCTGGCCGAAGGTCGGCAGCAAGACAGGTGGCCTCGAGCCCGCGAACCTTCGAACCTCCTGGCAGGAGCCGTGCCCAGTGCTGGCGATTGTTCGGAGCTGAACTTCCTTGCTATAAGCTTTGCAAGTAGATGTTGAGACAGGTTCAGTGGTTGCAAAGCCGCCTTTGACACGCAAGGTCTGTCTGGAGGCAGTCGCTGGCAAATCAAGATCATTCCGCATCGTGGGGGCTGCTGCAGATCCCAAAACCAAGGACGGCGAGCGAGCTGCGTCCGCAAGCTTTGGGGTGAGGCTTGTTAGGAAACTATATACGGCAGCAGCAGGCGACTAAGTTAGGCATCAAATGCCCCCTCCAAACTCCAAGCTCAGACTCGCTGCGCTCACGGTGTTTTGGCATCGGCGGGGTCCCTTCCTTATATTTATGCAAGGCCTTTGCCAGCCTTTTGGAGGGGACTTGCAAGTAGCCCAGCCGTGGAGGTTTCACATGTTCGCCATTTTGACGCTGCAGGGCCCTCATGCATAGTACTAGTAGTAATAATAGTACGAAGAGTTTTTTGGCAGGTTAAGCAGCATGGCTTCCTGGATGGGGTCTTGACGCTAGAGCTAGAAACAGCATGTAGCAGCATGGAGAGCTCCCTCCGGCCAAGGAGTCTGTGAAGAAGTGGTGCGAGAGGTGAAGTCCAGATTCGCCTAGCGTAGGCTCTTAGACCATGGTCGCGCTTGAAGTCAACGCCAAACGGCGGCTGGCTTCGTGAGGTGCTTGAGATCTGCAGTGAAGCAAGGAATTTTCAGGAGCATGCAAACAGCACGTCTCAAGAAGCGGAAGCTGCCCAGACATGTCAGCCAAAGGCTTGAACGAAGTGTAGGAAGCCCACCCTTAATTGTACATTTCTCTTCGGAGACATATAGTACGGAAGCACAGGTCTGCCTGGTTCTCAGATTGAAGGCTGATGTCGTGCGCAATTCGATGGAGTCCCACCATGATGCTCAAGGCATTGCTGGCTCAGCACGCGAAAGCACGAAGGGTAACAGGTCTTTCTGTCAAGGCCCTTCAACGCTGCACACCCAGCAAAACTACGAGTGGGAATGTATATTTCTTGCTTACTGTTTCGGCTTTCTTGTAGTGGACCGGTCTGAGGAGCCAGCGAATCGTGTGCTGCATGATAGTTTCGTGATGCTACTATGCTGACTATGGGCCGTTCGTTCTTGGCTTTGTGGTCCACACTTGCAAAGCTTTGCCTTCGGCAGTGTGAAGAGCACGGCTGGGGCCAAATTGATTTAACATCGCAGAGCGAAATATCACGCCCTGACGCCCATTTGTACGTAAGCAGGAATCTGAACTTCACATCAAGTCGCACTTCGCAGACTCCCTCACATCACTGTTGATTCAATGCTTCAGACTGCCTGCTAAACACATGCGAGGGTGTGTAGTGTGTAGGTCTTTAAGTTTTCTGGTCAACCGCGCCGAGCCCACAAGCCGGGACTGCATGACCACAATCGTTCAAGAGCAATTAGGTGACGCCATGTGGCTGAACGGGCGGGCGAAAGCCTGTTGCTGCAAGCAGATGTGTGGGTTTGGGAGAATATGTCATGCAAACTCTGTCAGTGTCTCAACTATTGCATGCTGCGCATTGGGTTCTAAGCCAGTGCCGCTGCAGCAACGGGACGCCCCAGGAAGTCGCAGCCACACCGAGCTTACATTGTAGCTGAGATTTCGTAGAGTTCTCGGTGAGAATCTGCGCAGAAAGAGAGGCGCAGGTGCTGCATGTAGCGGGGTAAGTTCTGCCGTCTCCGTCTCTGTCTCCTTGGCATCCGCCATGTGGTAGACATTTTGGTTCAAGACACGAGCTGGAAGCCCGTCTGCACGGGATGAGGGATGAGCTAAAGCCTCGCAGATTCATGGCCGGTCTGATTGTTTACGGCGAAGATCGCGCCTGCTATGGTTGACTGCACATGGATCTGACAGTAGCTTAGGATTCGAGCCGCTTGCCTGCCGTGCCATGTACCGGGCTTCTCAAACCCCTGAGGCCTTTGAGGATCGCAATAGACTATATTGAGTTGGTGATTGTGAGGATTTTCAATTGGTCTTGCCTCATTCCTTTCGCTCCTGAGGCATTGAAGCAAATTCTGGCAGATGCCAACTTGGTTGGTCTGTTGAGTGTCCTCCGCAGGTGCAGCGCGACGAGACAGAGTGGCGCAGGGGATGAGCGCTGAGTGGGTTTGCCAGTCACCCGGCGAGCACTGCCAGGCACAGGCGCATGAACCTCGTACTGCATCCTTGTGCTCGGAAGGGTCGCTTTGCCACATTTCTGGAAACCTGGCTTTTGATTGGCATGAAATGGTTCTCAGAGTCTTAGAGGTAGAGGCTTGCCACTGTCATGCGCGATGCTTCGAGCGACTTTACGTATCCAACGCTGCCCACCGGAGCAGCATACCTACGAGAAGCCAAGCAGCGAGCACTTCCGTTCGGAATCGGCATCTGGTTCTGGCCCTTCCAATTTACAGTCGGTGTCCAACTGTCGAGCATGAAACGCACATTTGGTCTTCGCTGCAGTGCGCCGATTCCACAAACACGACGATTGCTGTGTGCTGAAGTCAATAAGACTCTATTTTACAAGAGAGCAACTACACTTGGTGGGTGATGCTTCACCCGATCCAGGTATGAAGCTTCATGTAAAACAGCACGCGGGGTTTCCTCTGCCAACCTACAGCCTACAGCACGCCACTCGACCCTTTTTCCCAGATCGCAGGGTGCGCAGTTGCTTCGATCTTGATGCTGCTCAGCAGTTGCTGTCAATGGTACGACTGTGAACCAGCCGTGGTGTGAACCAGCCTGGATGTTGGTGTCGGGAATCTGGTGCCTCCCTTTCTCTGTCGATTCCACCTTGCACACGGACATGGCATGCGCTGGGGCCGGCCTTTGAGTAAATCAAAAGGCTATCCACTGTGTCGTTCCGGCGATTTCCGCACATTCGCACGGAGCATTTGCGGCTGCCTGTGCCTGCCTTGCTGCTCTGTTCCCTACAGGAGAAGTTGAGAAGCGATTGTACTGCACAGGCAAGCTTTGGTAATTAGTCCTCCGCATTTACAGCGTGTTTTCGCTTTGTCTGTATACCGACAGGCAAAAAGAAGAGCCTTGGCCTTCGCCGCTCTCAGGTTTCCCTCTTGCAGCTCTAGCGCTGCTCAGCTGGCGGAGCTGCGGCGGAGGCATCCAGCCGGCTTCGCTCACGATGAGGCCGGCCTGAGCTTACCGAGCCATTTGTGCTGTAATATTGCAAGGGCTCCACCCTCGACCCCCCCGTCCCCGCAATATGAAAGAGTAATGCTCCCGTCGCTCACTGCTTCTTTCTTTGGTTGCAGCCCCTGCAGTCCTACATTCCTGTGGCTCTTGCAGCGTTCCTTCGGGTGAACATGTAGTAAATGAACTCAGCTCACATTTGCTGATGGTGGTTCATGCTCGCTCTTGCAATCATGGTGTTTCGGATGCTGTGTCAGTGTTAACCCTAAACTGACACACGTGTAGTCTTGCCTAAGGAGCATTCCCAGACAAGTGCCCGCCGAAAACAGCATTCAATCGCAAAGGGGGACCTTTAATAATGGGAGGAAGCGATTAGTCACTCTCCAACGCATACGATTGATGGCAGATGGGCCAATGTCAGAACCCATCAACCGTGTCAAGATTTCGGGCTTCTGAACAAAGCACGGGCCAGTCGCCAAAGCTACTTCCCTGCAGCTGCTGGCAGGACCCCACCATGCGCGTGTGCACAGTCCCGCTGGCTGTACTTGTCTTTGGGGCTTGGGGGCGTTTTGTCCAAGTGGTGCGGCGTGTGGCTTCGAAGGTCAGCAGAGTAAGTAGCGTCAGGCTTTCCGTCTTGCACTTTCACGAACGTAATCCGTGCACCAAGGTCTGTCGACGGCTGCCTCTGCCTGCGAAGCAGGAACGACACATGCTGCACAGACAACATGCGCCATATTCAGAAACCTGCTGCAACCCTGAGACCAGTAGATCCTCCGTGCCGAGAGGAGGATCCGCCCCTCGATGAGAGCTTTCTTGCAGGAATCAAGGAGGCATACCGGCATGGAATGAGGGCGATATAATGACTTTCAGCAGGCCCATGAAGTTTGTTTCGAGGCACAGGGAGATGTGGTACAACTGGAGCTCGGGTCGGTTGTCTGTGTAGTGTAGTTCGTTTGATAGACTTCTTTGACAGATTTGGGGGAGGGGACCTGTTTCCCATGGCCCCAGCAGGAATTGGCTTCCATTGAAGAGAGCGAACAAAATATACAGGCTCTTTCGCAAGCCGCTTGGCGACAGTGCGGGAGATGGTCCTACCGCACATGGCATCGAATTGGCTTGTCAGTATGACTGAGGAGCCTTGAACATACCGCAAGAACCCACATGGAGTGATGGCATGCCTAACCAATTAGAGCAAAAAAAAGATGAGGTGGCCAGACCTTGAAAGGGCTTAGGTAATTGAGGAAGTTGAATTCAAACTAAGTGTACCAGTTCGTCTCTGCGTCTCTGCATGTTTTCAAGAAGGTCACGTTTCCACTCGTAAGGTCTTCCGCTTCTATGCCGGGAATGCGAGACAGCTGGCACAGCTGCTCGTCGACTTCCTCATGAAGCACCCTGTCTATGAAGGGTCAAGACAACAGCCGCTGCTAGTAGGGCCGGAAAGGATCGATCCAGGTGCCGAGTTCTGCTCTGCCTCACTTAAGGCAGTGCTTTCCATGGGAGCTCATCCATGCATTCCACCTTCTGGACGACATCTTGTTGCTGCCTGTCTGGGCATGTTTTTTTCGCAGAGGTTGGCCTTGGAACGTCTCTGCAGGGGGGTAAGAAACACCCTGGTTTGAGCGGCAGCATCGCGCAGGACTTCGATGCTTGTTGCAACCGGTGACCCTTCAGGGCTTTTTGCCTCGTCGCGACAAGCCCTGATGCTCGGAACGGCAGGTCAACAGAAGAAAGCATGGCTCGAACCCAAAGCCTCCGATGGCGAAAAGTTACCGGCGCTAGGCCGTAGGACGTGAAGCCGTTCGCAAGAGTCGACTTCCTTAAAACGGATCGCGAAAGTAAGTTCAATTTGTGCGATGTCCCCGGAAACTGAGACTTGGATGGCTTGGGAGACGTTTCCTGCCACCTAACAGTATCTATATGCCAGAACCTCGTTGATGTCAAGGGCTGGAATGTGCCGTAGTTCCCTCTCCGAGGCTTCGCAGACTGTCAGCATGATAAAAGTCGCGTAGTTCTGTCATGCCCGGTGGCTGAGAGGTTCTTCTCGACTTGCGGACCTAGATACTGGATTCTGGGTTCATGAATTCGTGTTTGTTTCGCAGTTTTCGGCAGCATCTTTATTGTGTAAGTTGGTCGGCCCTTCAGATTGCGAGGTTGGACAACACGGGATCCTACAAAGCCGAGCTGTCTGACCGCGGCCCGGCCTGAACAGTTCAGGAACTTCTTTAAAGCAGGTAAGCTGGTGGAAAACCAATATCCAGGTGGAGGTGTTGTTGGCACTTGGCACTGCCACTCGACTTTGCGCACATTCAGCCAGATGTTCAGTCAAAGTGCGGGTGGTCGCTGTGCAAGTCTTCCCACTTGCTCTCGTTCGACACGGTTCTGACCGAAGTAAATGAGCTCGACATGTACTCACACGATCCTCGCAACGGCCCGCTGGATCGAAGCCATGCAAACTCCCTCTGAGTTTGAGTTTCGCTTGTGTGCGTCGCTGTTTCTTTAACATCACAGCCCAGAAGAAGCTCAAGCTGCCGTCAAATGTGCACCCTGGTTCACCCTTGCGGCAGCAGACTCAGGCATTCAGATGGCATCAGTTCATGCTTTCCGAAAAGTCCAGTCCGCTGCAGAAAAACGCGAAGTTGCACGCAGCTTGGCCGGCAACCTGCAAGAGGTCTTACCCAGGAGCCAGCTCTGGACCTGACAGTGATGGCGGCCCATAGAAGCCTCATGTGCAGCTCTGACTGAAGAGGCCTGCGGGCTAACAGTGCTAGAAGCAAGGTGTCCTCCATGCTTGGCGTGAGCTGCGCATCATCAGCTCAGAGGCCGGGGACTTGGGATTGCGCCCTGCTGGGCCCGACCAACCATCAGACTCTGCAGGTTGCAGATGGCATCGCTGCAACACTCCGCACGCTCGGGGGCGAGGCTCCGCTAAGATAAATGCATTGTCGACCCTCAGAGACACATGCTCTGTTCTTGGCGGGCGTCGAACGATCTTTGGATGCATGGCGCTGCTGCACTTGCACCCAGGCAGTTCTGACGGTGTAGATTTTGTGCTCCTGGGCTGTACTCCTCCTCAACCGGTTACGCTTGTCAACGATTTCAACGGTCGGCCGTTCCCTGCCTGACTTCAGCTCGGGAGGCTGCTAGCCGAATCTTGGATGAAGCATCTGCTCCAGACGACGAAGACGATGAGCCCTATTCGATGCCTACTCGGGCAACTGGCCCAGACTCTCGGCACTAAGCCCTCCGAGTGCCGACCTTAAAAGTATTCGTGGCATCCAAACACAGGCAGCGACCCCCAACGAAGTTGCGCGATCGAGTCTATGCACTTGAAACCTGTTTGGGGGTACGGAAGGAGCTGCCTTACTGGGTTTACTTTCCAGGAAAAGTCGTTTTGAATAGACCCACTGAGGGATTCGGCTTTCAATCTCGCAAGAGTTCAATCTCGCAAGAGTAGCTTTACTCTGAGTACCAGCGGCTGCTCTGCTGAGCCAAGGCAACTGCGGCTAAGGGCCAGCCACAGCCGGAACCGCCGACCAAGCGTGCCAAGGCAGGCCATAAGCAGCACAGGGTTCGTGTCGAACATAGCTTCGTCCCAGATCCAGGCGGGAGAAGATATGAAAGACCAACACGAAAAGACTCCTGTGCGGCGGATGTCGTCCGATCCGAAATTACACGACATAAAATGCTGAACTTGAATACTCTTTGCCCTGAAGGCCTGCACTGTGCAGGATAACCAACAATGTGCCTTGTAGTCTGTGCCGAAGGTAGCTTCCGCAGCTGCAGTCAGGGTGGCTGCGGCGACCCCTGCGCAGCAGCCACGGACAGCAGAGAAGATCCTGGCCTTGGTAAAGAGGCCAGTGTGGCTACTTCCTTGCCGTTTTGGTGGTGTCTCGTGTCTGGCCGTCGCTTCGTAGGTTTAGCCTGATTTCGACGTCGTAATTTCTGTATCACAAACTCAACACAACAAGAGAAGCTCGGTCCTGCTAAGCATGACAGGAGGCAAGCCCGGACACAGAAACACCTGCGGCCCCGCGTCAGACGGGAAACGAGCAAACGACAAAACAAGAACTCAACAAGACAGCAGATGTTCCAAAACCGAGACGGAAGGAGTGCCCCCGAAGGCCCTATCAAATTCCAAAGAGTGCAAAGATGAAGCCTAAGCAGCACAAGAGACGCATACGCCTCGAGGCTTGACGCTTGATCGTACAGTTCCAGATCCATCGGCGAAGCTGTTGCCAGCACGCCAAACTATTGATAGGGGCATGTGGCGTGAGTTTTGTGGCGGTGTATTGCTGAGGAATGTACTTGTCATCATGTAAGAACAGAATCAATCCGATCTGCGTTTGTTTGAGACCTGGTGCAGGATAATCGCCGCACCGGCAGAGCTACATGGCTCAATAGAAGCATCCACCGGGAGACGTCTTGCGTTCGTCGAGGCTTCCGTGAGTGGCCAAAGGATCCCTCTCGTGATCAACTCCGATGTCTTGCATGTGGCATCCAGCCCTTGTTTGTGCTTTACATCCTACATGCCATGCCGCCTTGGCTGTACTTCGCAGCAGAGAAGCGTGTAAGACCTAGACAGAGCGAAGTGTTGCACTGGCGCTGCCTGTGAGAAGTGATGTCCCAGGAAGCCCTTTGAGCTGCTGGGTCTGGGCACTGGGTGCAAGGCTCGGCATTTGAATACAACGCTTGCCTGGGCTTCGAAGTCTTAACCTCTTGGTTCCGAGCTTGGCCGTTAGGCGTTCGTTTCGGGACTGCTTGTTTCGTTAAAAGGCAGAGTTTGGATCTGCGGGTCTTGCCAAGGGAGTGCCAAAGACCATCCTGCACTCAGGCGTTTTGCCCTGTGAAGGCCAGCGAGATTCGAACGGCGTACAGGAAGATCGCACTTCAGATTCACCCCGTGACTTTGCCACCGGGGCGGGGAGTGCAGCTGAGGGTTCGTGTTTCGGAATTGGTGCATTTCTGGGCCGGAGTTGATCGCCGATCAGATTTAGACCCTGGGTTCGGCGTCGGGAGTTCGTCAACAATCGATACATTCCTTGCAAGACCTTGAGAATTCCACCAGGGGCCGGGGACGAGGCAAGAGCACCAGCCTGCTCAAAGTTTGTAGATGCAGCCAAGGACAAGAACCCAGGATCTGAAGGGCTTTGCAAGGAAGCTCTCATCAAGCTGCAGCAAGGAAGAGAGCAGGCTGGTGGGAATCATCTCCGAGCTGGCTTGACTGTAGCACGATCTTGCTGGCACTGTACAACTAACGGAACACACATATTTGACCCTAGCACCCCATCCGGCACAAATTGTGGCGAGGCAGAAAGCGAGCTTCAGCAACGAGAGCTGCTTCGTTTGCAAATTTGTCAACGTCAGGCTGTCATTCCCCGTGGCTTTGCGATCGTCGGTCTCCGAACCGCATTTTCGAGCAGAGAGGAAACACTGACAACACAATTCGGCAAACAAGTAGGTTAAAAGCTTTGGTTACACTAGGCGCCCTGAAAGACCAATTCTTGAAGTCGCACCGTTCAAGGAGTGGAGGCAAATCAAGGGACAAGGGTGGCATGGACAATGGCACTGTTGCTGCTTGGATGCATTTGGTGGGTTCGGAACTGTATGACTGTATGACGTTTTGTCGAATTGCGATGTCTGTGCCTGCGCACGAGATCTTTCAAGCACCTTCCATTGCGTGGTAGCGGGAGGATTCAGGTTTCTGGAGGGAGGGAAAGGGATCTGTGCCAGGAACCGGAAGCCAAGCCTTCTGGGAAGTGCCCATACCCAGGACTACCAGAATGCTCGGGCAATGGGCACGAACATGTCAAGAATAGAGGCCAACTAGCGATGCCGCTAGTGCAATGGGATAATTAAGCTTGCATCGCTTGCGCAGGATGCGACCTTCCAAGCTGCAAGCAGTGCCCGAACAGGTGCTGCACTCGCACCTTGGTTGATCTTGTACTTATACTGGCGACACGCAGTCACTTTCTGCGATGAGTGCTCGAAGAAGCTGGACATTACTCACTGCTTTTTGGTTGCATCCTCCCTCACTCCGATACCACTTCAAGTTCGCAGTCTTCGAGGCACGACGTTGTCCTGTAGCCCTGGGGTATGGGCATCGATTGTACGGAGCGTGTTTCATGCTCGTCGAGGCAACATCACGCATTGCCACATGATCGCACGAAGCCGAGGGGGGTGACCTGGCAGCATAGCTGCGGCATGCGGAGTTCACGCGAACCGGCCAAAAGCCTGATGGTAAAACAACAGCATCCAGGCTCCACTGCTACTTCCATCCGCCTCCTCGCTCATGGGCGCGGAATGCCGAAGGTTGAGGCAGCCTCATGGAAGTGGTTGCTTCGAGAGGGACTTCAACAAGGTTTGTTTGCGTTGAGGGTTCATCCGCGGAGCACGCCGCCACGATGGATGTGCATCCTTGTGCTTCGCGTCAGCTACTGTCTTGCACCCCGCAACTGTCGGCACAGTCTGACAGTGCTGGCCTCTTGAACATCTTGAGCTTCCAAGGTCCGTCCAAGCTGCTTCATGACATGGTGGTCATTCTTCTGCATGCCGTCAGTTGGCTGGCCACCATGGCAAATGCCAAGACAACAACAACCCGGCCCGGCTTTGGGTTGCTTGCGCGAGGTGGCAAGCTCGTATTTGCACCGTTCCGGCTGTCCAGAGGGCAAGCATCCTGCAGAAGTAAAGGGGCTAGAATAAGAGGAAGCAGGTACGGAGCAAGTGTGCCGCCCGGTAGTATAATGTAGTATAGCATTACTTCAGGTCAGAATGTCTGTTCGGATACATGAACGAGATCCGTATTTGCCAACTCACCCAACACGTTGTCGCGACTGCTTGTTCCACTTGCCTCGTGACTGTATTTTGTGACAATGCAAGAGCGGGTGCGAGGGAGCGAAAATGTTGTTGCAACGAATGCTTGTGCAGCCACCCTCGATGCTGCTGCATGCTGATCTCCATGGCACTGCGCCAATCAGCTTGGGAGATGCTTTGCCGAGCCCTCTCTTGGACAGCTGCGAAGGCCCAAGCTCGCACCCACGCAAAGAAGGTCTGGCAGTTAAAGCTCCAATACTTGCACGGCTGGCATAGGTGGCAAGGTTTCACGACAGAGTGCTGCTGACGCCATGAGACATTCCAAGGGTTCGAACCAGAGTCTCAACGACCCTATGACAGGACTCTGGGTGTAGATGCGCGTCCCCACGCAGCTGCTTTTTCTTCCGGCGTGAAGTACACCTCATAATAAGACTTGCCAAGCTGGTGCTGGAAAGCCGGCCAACTATGTATCCAAGCAAGCCTGAGCTAGCTACTAGTTGGATTCGCGCCCCGGCACCCCACAACCTCGAAGTAGTCACTGCCTGACAAATTCGATGCAGGAGCTGTGGAAAGCCTGGCGAGTCTCCGGGCCGACATCGTTGCATCCCAGACTCCTGGCAAGCGGATAGAAGAACAGCCAATCTCCGTTTCTGAAAACATCAGGAACAGTTAATTCGCCGGGAATCTGAAAAGTCTCTTAGTGCACCCGCATGGACACAGGCAGGGAAACTGTGTGTGGATAGATTAAGCCGCATTTGGCACAAAGTGTTACAGGTTTCTAGCTCAAGCTCGAGGTTTAAGGTGCCCTCCCGAAGTGGCCCGGAAGTGCAAAATGGCAAAATGCCACTGAGCTCCCTCACGCAGCTAGCCCGACAAGGAAGCAGATCCTTCGAAAGCTCGACACGGAGCTGGAGAAAATGAAGAAGAGCACACCACCAGCTAGGACGTCATTTCGCGAGGTGCCTCTCTCCATGTGGGTTCTGAATTTGGGGGTGACATTGTAGGAGCTTGTCCCAGGCATTTTTGAGCCTGCCGGGGATCGATTTTCATCTACAGTGCAGTGCTACTCGAAATCTGTGCATGTGACGCTGATACGAAACTGGTATTACCATAGGCCATACTGTACCGCCTTTTATTTCACGAATAGTATACTATACTATACTATACTCGTGCTATATACGACCCTATACCATACACGATACCATCCCGTCCTCATCCTCTCAGACTTCACATCCCCTGCTTCGACCGCCGAAGTGACCCCTGGACCTTTGTTTGATCGAGGCGCATGAGTTTGTTCCGGGGCCGCCACAGCCGCTCTCACCTTTGACACCCACCAGAGCTTGGGGCCCTGAAGGGAGGACTGGGTTGACGAACATCGGAAAAGGAGGTTGCCTCAGTCGGCTGTTTCAGACCTGGTTTATGGTTATTTCCTGGGCCGGATTCGATTGTACATGATTTTGCAGTGCGGGGCACTCAAGCAAGGAACTTAGGAAAAAGAACTTTCATGTGCCCACCGTGTTGCAGGACGGAGACGATGTCCACGATGATGACAAAGCCGAACCTTCCCGGGGCGCTGGACAGTGAGGACGACGCTCCTGCCGATCCACGGACAACGCTCTCCCAATTATGGCCTCGTGGCAGACAGGGCTTCTGGTGGCATCGGAAAAGGCTTGAGTCTTGCATTTGGGCTTCAAGACTGCTGCAGTCAGGGTCCCCGTCCAGCAGCTGGGTTGCCGCACTCCTTGTTTGGCTCTCCATTTCTCCGAAGCCAGGGTGTCTCATGCAGTTGCTTGGGCCGAGATTGCTAATTACGCTGAGCGTTGACCATTCCGCCCCCTTGAAGTTCCTGTTGGTGGTGGTGGTGGTGGTGGTGGTGGTGGTGGTGGCGGCGGCGTTGGTGTTGTTTGTTGTTGGTTGCGATTTGTTGTGATGTGTTGTTGTTGTTGCTGCTGCTGTTGTTGTCGTTGCTGTTGTTGGTGGTGGTGTTGTTGTCGTTGCTGTTGTTGGTGATGATGTTGTTGTTGTCGTTGCTGTTGTTGTTGATGATGTTGTTGTTGTTGTTGTTGTTGATGTTCTTGCTGTTGCTGCTGGTGGTGGTGCTATTGTTGGTTCTATTGTTGTTGCCGTTGCTGTCGTTGTTGTTGTTGCTATTGCTGTTGTTGGTGTTGCTGTTGCTGTTGCTGTTGCTGTTGCTGTTGCTGTTGCTGTTGTTGTTGCTGTTGCTGCTGTCGTTGTTGGTATTGGTTTTGTTTGTTTTGTTGGTGTTGGTGTTGGTGTTGTGGTTGCCCTTGTCTTTGTCGTAGTCGTCGTCGCCGTCGTCGACATCGTTGTGGTTGTGGTTGTTGTTGTTGTTGCTGTTGCTGTTGTTGGTGCTGTAGTTGTTGCTGCTGCTGTTGTTGTTTGTTGCCCCCCACCCAACAAAACGACCGTCGTTTCAACGATCTCCCCACCACAGACCGGCCCGATATCAGCAGCTCTGTCCTAGATGAGACGCAGCTTCCCTTGTGTCAGGCATCTTGGGACTTTGGAACTCCCTACAGAAGCGATACGAATGCCTCCATGTGTTGGTTTTGGTTGGGGCGGGCTTGGCTTCGGTATCTTTTGAGGGATCCCGTGCTGAAGCCCTCACTTATAACGCTGCAAGCTGTGTCTTGAACAGATTTCTCGGCAGAAGAAAAACTCTCCCTATTGTCCGGTTTAGTGTGCCAGAGTGGCGACAGGGATCAGAAATGCGGTATGCAGGTTCGCGAACGACTAGGTTCGGGTGGCTTTGCGAATTTCCACGACAAGTTGTGAACAGAGTCTCCTGATGACCGCGTGTCCGGGTGAAAGGTCTATTGCCGAGCAACGCAAGAAGCGGATGGTTTGGATCAATAAGCAGAACCTTGGATTTGGACTTGCCGAAGTGGGTTCGACTGTCCTTGCGCGTAGTGCTGGAGTGCTTTTGGGGGATCTGGTTGACAAGACCGAACAGCTGGAGCGAAGACTTTGCCACCTCGCCTGCCGTGCTGTAATGGTCTGGGCATAATCGATGAGGTCTTGCGTTTATGAACACGAGATACCTTGAAGTTTGCTTCTCCGTGCTCTCAGGCTCATCAAAGCTCGCGGGTTCGTTGGAGCCCAAAATGTGGCGCTTCTTGCTGTTCGCACCGATGCCCTTTCTGAGGAAAGCAGCTGGCACTGGCGCCACCGCCATTGAAAAGCACATGACACAAAAGGAGCTGGACGAGGAGCATGTGCATGGTACAGGCCACTGGTGGGAGTTACCACATCGGTGTGCTTGGTGTGTATGGCTTCCTCAGCTTGAGCTTGTGGCTATAAGAGATAGGGGCTCTGTTGAAAACCTCCGACAAAACCCAACCGGCTGGCTGCCTTCACCAAGTTGTTGGAGAAGCCGCTAGCAGGCAGCCAGCCCATTGCTCTTGAAGAGGAAGACAAGTGCCGGGGCATGGATTGAAAGTTATGCAGGCTCAGTCTGTCTTGGTCACATCATGTGAGAAAGAAGGTCGGGAGGGGGCATGTTTTGGCGTCCAAGCAGGAAGTGCGAAAGCCAACGCAGTCAGTCAAGAAACATGCTTGATGAAAGCTGAGGCGTGTATTCTCACAGCTCAACTCGGAGTATGCGGTAAACCAGTTGAGGACGAAGGGGGTCAAACCGTACATCCGAGAGCCGGCTTGTGCAGTTTTGTGAGAGATGCGTGAGAATGCTACTTCGGCCAAAAGCCCTGTCGACCAGGAAAAATGCTGTTGCGCAGTTCCGGGCCCAATCCAGGCTGCCCCAGGACAGCTGTTGGACGAAGATCGTCGCATGGCACACTTATTGGGCATTGAGAAAGCTGCACGGTCACCGTGTCTTGCTGATTCATCCCCTGAGTCAGCAGCGAGCGCGTTTGTAGTCTGTTCGTGGCCAGTCGCGCCTGTCTGGGATAGGTTTGGTTCCTATTCCGCCTATTCCGACCCGACTGCAGCATGACATAGCATGCTCAGGGCATGGACAGACTCCCGGCTGTGTGCAGCAGTCTCGAAGCAGAAGTAGTGTTGACATCCAACTCTGCCGCTTCGTAAGAAGAGGTTGCATCTTCAGCCGAATAGGTCCTGTAGCATCCGCTATTGAGCCAGGGGGCAGCCTGCATAAGAATCAGGGGCCTCCCCTTGCATCGCACATCTGGAAATGGGGTGTCTAGGCAATGCACCCGCCCCCGAAGGTTTTCATTGCAAGGAACAACCAAGCCCTTGGCCCCTGGGCTTCCGGCAAGGTGAATAGTCCGCACTTTGAGCGAGTCGGCCTTGCGAGCCTTCGCTGAGTTTGTGGGCGGGGGGGGGGGACATACGGCTGGTTGATCTGACTTTCTACCTGGCATCTTTTGTGGATGTCGGTAAGCGTGAAATTCGGGTTGCGGACTTCAACTGACCGAGGATGATATACTTGAACGCGATCTGGATTGCCGTGGACATTGAGTACAACAAAGCGCCTACAGTGCTGGAGGCGGTTCCGAAGTGTTAGCGCCCACAGACTCAACTTAGGACTTAGGCATGTCACCACCGCGGCCCCTCCTCAAAAAGCGCATGTCGGTGCATGAGCAATGGGCAATCCAAGAGTAGAAGTAGAAGTTCCAACTCCGAGACCCCGAGCCATGGACAGTCTTGCACAGGCGGAGTCAGGCTTCATCGCTGCAGAGGCCAAGCGGCCAAGCCAAGACTTTTCAGAGCTTTCAGAGCTCGGGGCGCTTTCAGGGCTTCACAGGGATTGGGCGGAACACGGCCGAGCAGCTGATACAAGGGTGGCCTTGCCAGGCCTTGTTAATTGTTACATGACGGGTACCGACTTTCACCGAAGGTCTGAGGCATCTCAAAGCGCTTTGCCAGGTCTTCTTCCTGGTTTATTTCTCGGCAGAATTGCTCTTCCGGTACATGTCCTACCCCACCACACGGCAGGCCTTCAAGGCTCGGGTTTAAGTTTATTCATTTGGAAAATGCTTCTAGCAGAGCAGCGTGCAGCAGAATTGCATAACCCTGTCTGGTTCGAGGACCCATGGTTTTGGTTTGATTTGCTGCTGGTGGTCATCATGGTCGTAGAGACATGGCTTATTCCCATCTTTGACTTGATCATCACGGGCTTCGCGGATGCTGGCAACGGCATGGGGAGAAGTGCCTCCGCTTTTCGCACGGTGAGAGTGCTCCGTGTTCTTCGCACTGCACGAATCATCCGTGTTGCCCGCTACATGCCCGAGCTCATGATCTTAATCAAGGGGTTGATGGTTGCAGCTCGTTCCGTCTTCTTCACCTTGGTGCTGCTGCTCCTTGTGACGTATGTGTTCAGCATAGCAATCACGCAGCTGGCAGCAGGCACCGGGACCACAATGGAGGCAGAACAGTTTCCTAATGCGCTGGTCACAGTTTTGAACTTGATCATCGTGAGCACAATGCCGGATCAGAAAGACTACTACGAGATGGTTCGAGATGAAGGCTGGGAAACCTGCACAGTGAAAGATCCGAAGCATGTTGCTGCTGCCCACCACTTCCACGAATGCTGCAAAACACATTCGACAGAAGCTTCAGTGCCACGAGTCATGAACCTCCTGCTTTGTGTTTGATTGCTACATATTGCTACTCGTAGAGTCAGGGCTCAGCTGACTCTTCCTTCAGCAGCCTTCTTTTCGAGTTGTGGGCATGCAGGAGACTGGTTCATGGCTCTGCTCTTCCTCGTCTTCGTCATGTTCAGCTCACTCATCGTCATGAACATGTTGGCGCTTTTTCAGCAAGTTTTGCCGAACTCGGCGGTGTGCTTTCAGGCCGTCAGGTGTTTTGGTAATGGTGAGTCTCTTCTGACGCCCAAGACAACGATGGCAGAAGCAGCCCCAACCCCTGAGGCCCTGTAGGCTCCCACTACGAGCTCAGAGCTCCGTTGCGCCGATTCGTACAAAGTTACACAGCACATGTTTCGTCCCCGCCTAGCCAAGCCTCCAAGCTCAGGTCGGTGTGTTAGTTGAAGCCGTCCAAACCGTGGCGACGGTGGAGCACGAGCAGAGCCTTTGCCAGATGCCTGCTGGTAGCCTGCTAGCGAGTCACGACATGCTCGCCAAAGCTTTGACAGACTTGGTTGGAGTACGTGGCATGCCTGGTCGTTAAAAGTTAGATAGCTAGGTCTGCTGGATGCCAAAGCAAGAGAAATTGCGATCTCGCCCTTCTCATGATTCTTGAAGTGGGTTGCCAGTGCCAGTGATCGCAAAGTCAGAAGCAGTGCAGCCACAGAACCCTTTTGGAACACAGCGGCGTGTGCATTACCGAAAGGACTCGGCTTGGAAGTCGTTGCAATCTTGATTGCTCAAGACTAGCATCGAAGACTTGCGTGCTACCAGTAAGGATTCACATCGACTTCGCCAAGCGCGTTTTGTGGGAGATGCTGGACAGTGGGGGTGCGGATGAAGACGGAGACAACCTCATCTCAGAGCAGGACCTTGCTACACATAATTATTGACATAATTACGGCATAACCTGGAGTCAGTTTCGAAGTCTGCAGGCCAGGTCAGAGTCCAAATTGGCAGGAGTTCTTGAAACTTCTGGAGACGCCAGAGGCTGCGAGACTTGGACCGCATTGTTCAATGCCGTGCTCCAGACGTCGTGTCGCGCTGAAATCTCGCACGGTAGATGGCCGGGGTTGGGTGTTCAAAGGGCTTCGAACCATGCTCTGCTGCCTTCCTTTTGCTGCCAATGCCGATGTGATAAGCTCGTGTCGAAGCAGCACTGGAAGCCAAGGGATTCGTATTTTGGGGGCGCGCAGAGTTCTGCTTAATTCCGATTGAAGGGCTTGGGATTCCGACATCGTATCCATGCAGAACGGTCACGTCTTCGCCCAACACCTCCATCGTCCCAGCGGTCCGGTTCGGTCCGAAGGAAAGCCTTGAATCGGCTTGGCGTGGACAATGTCGCCGCTGTTGAATACGGAAGCCTTCTCTTTGAGGACGGGCATGTGAGCAAAGAGTAGGGAGACGGGAGGACTCTAGCCTGGGCCCCCTCTGCAACGATCCCCTTCCTTGGCAGCTCATTTACTTTTGTTCGAAGTTGTTGCTTGGCTTGGGTTGAATGTGGCATCGCCGGAACAGAGCGCTGCCGTGTAATATCAGGATGGGCAGCCTCTGACATTTGGCGAGTTCTTGGAGGGCATGCTCCTGCTACGTGGGTCGAACCAAACCACAGTCAAGGACGTTTGTGCTGTGTTAGTGCCAGTGCTTCAGACATGCACAACTCCCACAAGAAAAGGCAAGCACACCTTATTAGCCAGGAAACGCGTTTTGCTTCGGGCACAAAAGGACATTGTCAATCTGCGCAAGTACGCCTCGGATGAATTCTCCCATCTTCATGTGGTGTTGGCCGAGCTTTGCAAGGTCCTCGCAGGCAAGGTGCACTAGGTCCTTGCATTTCCCGTGCTCCCTCTTCCCTATGAACACCGCAGATATTGTAGGATGCACTTCAGATAACAGACAAAACGATGTGTTCCCGACACCGGCTGCGAGTGTCATCACATCACTAATACAGACCAAAGCAGAGAAACAAAAGAGATTAGCAGTCATAAGCCTTCTCAACTCCCCGGTACAAGAGTCTTGCGAAGACGTTGCTCCACACTAGACAGTCCTTCCCTTCCACGAAGGCCGAAGCCACCTGTCCTGCACAGGTCAGCAATCTGCACCGCTCCAAGCCACGGCGAGGCTTCTCCAGGAGAAGATCGATGCATACGAGAAGGTCTTCAAGTCAGGGAGGTTGTTCCAAGTTCGATGAGGACTTCAGCTTTGCAGGGCATCGCATAGCGACAGTCGCTAACTGTTGCAGCCACCTGTTGCCGACTGTGACGACACTAGCCGTAAAAGTGCGTGTAAGCAGATCACAGGTCGGGTCGATTCATGCCGATGAAGTGTGAGTGCTTTTATGCGCCCCGCCGGCATGGATCAGTGTTGTGGTATAGCATGCCAGCATGTCTTTAAGACCTAGCTTTGAGTTTGATTGTCTCCCGACAAGACCAGAGCCACGAAAACCTGCTTGTAACCCATTCCTCGCGAAGCATTCTCTGAGCTATGACCGCTGATATGTGCGTCATTGCAATGAGCAGTACTGCTGAAGCGTCGGCCTTCTATGCGGCAATGATAGATTGGAATGCTTGCTGCCGGCACTAGATGCTAGAACAGCGATTGTTGGCCAAGCGGACATGAGGAACGATCCTGTGTGGTATTACCATAAGCATCGCAGCCGGCGCTGGCTTGCATGGGGAGTAGTAGTGCTTGTCCAAGACAGCCGAAGCAACCACGAGTGATTTATGGTGCAGTTTCGCACTTTCCTATCTTGATTGTGCCTGAAGCAGGGTTGCCATAGCTGCCAAAGCAGGCACTGCACGCGGCCATAGCACATGTAACATTATGTTCAACAGAGCCAGAAGGCACATCCTATAGGCCTTGGACTTGAGTCTGTGGGTCCTCGTAGTGGCCGATGACAAGACTGGATCTGCTGTGCGGCAACAGCAGGAACCCTTGCTCAGATGCGCGTCCCTGCTTCAGCAACTAAAACTTGTTTTTTCAAGCAGCTCTGGGCAAGTGAGCCAGCGAAGCCAAAAGACTTTCGCCAAAGTCTTTAAGATGTGCGTGTTCATAGGTGCAAGTTACGTAAGCATGCATTCCTACATCTACTGTAACTTTTGCAGAAGATGCATGCGAATCTTTTTCGGTGAAGCCATGCCTGCATGTGGTGCTTGTGTGCAATGAAAAGTTCCGCAGCTTGTGTCAGGCCAGTGTTCGGAGATACTGGAATAGATTATGACAGACACTGAAGCAGTGCAGAGAATTCAACTTCGCTCTTGCCCAGACCGGTCTCACCAGCACCGACAGCTTCATGATGGATGCACTGAGTTTGCCCGGACTCGAGCACAATTGAAGCACTGCTCAACCTCCACCGCCCCCAGGGTGAGGCCCTGTTCCTCCTGCTGTCGGACGTAGAACTGGGGATTTTCGCGCAGTCCTGTCTTCAAGAGACAAGACGGCATGCCGTAGAATCTGACTTTGCATCTTTAGCAGAGCCGGAGCTGATATGAGAGATATCATAGTCAGTCAATTATGGATTTATCAGCTATGCTCCACGAAATAGGATCTTATTTTTAATATATACGAAATCCTTTATTTAATAAGATCATCGCATCTATAATGAGACCGTGAAATAATCATGAACAAGAAACATGATTTTTTAAAGAAAAATTAGGAAATTCAATATTGAATTCAAATTATAATCATATTATAAATAAGTCGATCGATATATTTATTTAAGGATATATGAATATATATATATATATATTCGAATTCATATTTTTGAATTAAAAATATTACAAATATTCGAGAATTTCATGGTTAATAAATAGAAATAGAATTTACTTTAAACATAGATTTCTATAATTATTTTTTAGGTAAGAATATTGAATATTATATGTTTTTGTTCGAGGATTTCTTAATACAATTAATTATATTTAAATAATAATAACATACTTTAATTTCATAATTCATTTACTTAAATGATTTATTACACAAATAATATAAGGTTGTAGTTATACTTCTTCTATTTTGATAATGATTCTCTATATGAAATTATTGAAAATCTCTTTATTTTATAATTATAGGTATATTTGCTGTTGTTTGCTCTTAGATTCGAGACGAATTTTTCGTGCGAAATTTAGAAATTCGAGTTAGAATAATGGAGAGGATATGAAGGAAGTTTAATAGTGGTTTATATGAAATCGTGGGAAGCGGGGCGGGGGGGCAAAGATAGGTCGTGAGAGAATAGGAGATGAAGATAGGTTGAGGGATAGGTCGGATAATATTCTATTATGAGATTTCTTGATATAAGCCATATGAATATGAAATAATATCTTTAATTGAATTGATATTCTATGGAATAAAACAGATAATAAGATTAAAAGAAGAATACTAGATGAGAAATAAATAGATAAATATATATATAAAAAAAAAATCGATAAGAGAAATATTTTATAGCTGAATAATTAAAATTAAAATATTTAATACTAATAGAATAGTTGAATTTCTTTCATATCGAATAAATAAAATTCTAATCTATATATATTTTTTAAAAATTTAAAGGTAGAATAAATAATTTAGATGGATAGATATATATTCAAAAATTAATTATGAATAAAAAATTTGATTTATATATATATATTTATTTTAAAACTTAAGTATTATATTTAAATATAATTGAGAATATAATTCTATTAATAAATAGAAAATATATATAATTTATTATTTTTTGATTCTATTTGAATTATTATAATAAAATCGAAATTAATTCGAGCAAGTATTAAAATATTTTTTAATTTTAAATATAATTAATTAAAGATATGAGGTGTATATATATAGATGATATATATATAGATATAATTTCATTTTCATGAAATTGTATTCTATATAGCTCAGGATAAGATTAAATTTATCCGTGCTATATTCGAGGATATTGGGCTTATTTTATAAATTATTTAAAGGTTCTTCGGAACAACTTATAATGATGATGGCAATCCTCTAGAAAATAATCTTTAGGAATCTGATATATTAATAGTTCGCTTAGAACAGCTTCTATCTCTATAATGGCTTTCAATGCATCGAGTATTGTTTTTGAAATTAATTTCTTTTATTTTTATCTGCCGATTCCCGTTAGGGCGGCGCTACTGAAATATCGAGCCCCCGGCTCCCACCGTCTTCTTCCGGACCCATATCTGACTATATTTCCCAATTTTTTTTGTAAAGATTTAGAGTCTTCGAATATAAATCTAAACCTCCATCATATGGCTGCCCCTCATTATTCATATCGCCTTCACCAATATCCCTATCTGGCTACATTTTCCTCTTTTTTCGAAAATATTTCGAAACTCCCAATCGTATCCGCGACCGAGCCCGCTTCTATCGCCCATGCCGTCCTCGATAGCACCCATATCTAGCTATATTTTCTATATATTTAAAAATATTTAGAAGCTCTCAATACGTGCCACTTACCTCCCCCCCTCTACTATCGCCACTTTCCCCCCAACATCCATATCTACTCGTATTTTCTATATATCTACGATACGTACCCAAAGCCCCCCCACCCCTCCTCGCCTATATCGCCCTTATCGCCCCGACTCACCGGCACTAACATTTGACTACGTATTCTATATATTTAGAAAATAATTATAGGCTCCCTACGCCCTGAATCCTAATCCTAGTACCTATCCGTCACCCTTATTACCTGCTACCGCCCTTACCGACTTTTCCATAGATCACAATATTTAATTTTCTAATATATACTCATCGTCCCCCGACCCATCGCATCTAGCCCACCTCCCCCCACCCTACTACCCCCAATATCTTTATCAAGCTCATATTTGATTATATTTTCTATATATTCAAGAGAATATTCAAATAATATTTAGAGTCCATCGCCCCCGCCCGCCCTTATAGACCTCCGCCAGCCATATATCTAACGGAATCGTCCCGATTTCATTATCCTTTTCCTCCTTATCATCTTCGATATAGACCTAAATTTTCTATATATTGCAAAAATAAATGAAAACATTTTTATCGAATATTTAGAAGCTAACCCACCCCCCATCCACCTTCCTTGCCTCCAATATCCTTATCTCCCCCCCGCCCTCATTATTCCACTACCCTTGCCAGCCATACATCTAGCTATATTTTCTATATAATCAGAAAATATCTAGAGAGTATTTAGAAGAATCTAATAATTAATGTACCGCCCCCACCAAATATTTTTAGGCTTCTAATGCCTACCCGCGCACCCCACCCTCCCCTACCATGCCGCTCTCCCCACCTACACCGCCCTCACGGTTCACAGAGTATTTAGAAAATACGCAAGAATAAAAAGAGCTTCTAATTCCTATCAGCCATTTATAAGCTTCTAGCGAGTGCCCATAATCCCTCCCACCCTCGCCCCCAATTTAGAGAATATTTAGAAGCTTTCAATATGTGCCCGCAGCCTTCCCGCCCTCCCCGCCCTCCCCGTCCTCAGCACCCGCATCTGGCTGTGCATTTTCTATAAATTTTGTAGAGTATAGAGAGGCTCCTAATGTGTGCCCACAGCCCCACCATCTAGCTGAAAAATCTGTGTTATCTGTGTGAATAGCTGCACAGTGTCCCTCTTAGAGCGTCGGCGGCATTGGGAGCAGCCATTAAATCGGGCAGCGCTCGGTCCCCGACCGCCGACCCCACCTAATTTCAAATTCTTTTGCGTAATTTTGGGGTCACCATGGGTAGCCCCCAAAGGGCGCGCATCATGAGCAGCAGCGGGGTTGGGCGGACCCCAGACCCCAAAGGACGCGCATCATCAGCATCAGCGGGGTTTGGGTGGCCTTAGCCTTGCTCTAGGCTTCTACCTGCGCTGCCCGCCGGTGCGCGCAGCCCCTAGAATATTCCAAGAATTTCTCGAGATAACGACGACATTCGCGGTAGCGGGACTTTTTGTTGAGCGTGCGCAATGGAATTGAGAGATGCGGCAGGGGGACAATATATACAGGAAACTTTTGCAGTCGCTTGTCGGACTGCTTTACAAGTGATGGTGCGGCGCTTGTGCAGCATGAGATGCTCGCAAGAGGCTTTGGCGGGGGCTGCTGGAAGACAGATGAATTCACCCGTTTAGAATTCATTCGGTGAAGCTCCAGCTGCTGCCAAAATCCTCAGGCTCTGCCAATCCACACATCCAAGTAGCAAGCAAGCTCCACCAATGCCTGGACCCCGTGTCCACATTCGGCGCTGTGCTTGCCCGGAAAGCCATTAGCACAAAGAGATGTGGATTGGACCATACGGCTCTTCCTGCTGGAGGAGGAGGCCTCCACCCGTTGCAAGTGCCAGAAGTGATGAAAACGCTCGCGCTGCGGTATTTCGGCTCGTGTCTGATGGTCGCATGATGTCATCCAGAAAGGACTCGCCCTGTTCTGCAAGGTATCTGCGAATCAACAAACCGACTTGCGCAGTCTGCACATCATGGCTTCCGTCGCTCGCGTCGGCAACGTCCTCGGTTGCAAGTGCCAAGCTTCGATCCGCTTGGGCCTCTGCTGCAGCATCTGCAGCTTGCGCTGCTGCTGCCATGAAGGCTGGCTCCTGCGGCTCAGAAGCAAACACTGCTCCAAGCATGTCAGGTCGAACTTGATCTCCGATGTTGCCGAGGAGGGGTTGAATCTCCGGGAGCTCGGCATACTCTCCAGGATCTGCATCCGAGAAAGCCTCATGGGGCGCCGGCAATGCAAATGGTGAAGGAGAACGGCCGAAGCCGATGTCCGTGAGTGCTTGCAACTGCCCCATGCGATTTGGAAAGAAGTTCCCGGTAATCTCCGCCGCAAATGAAGCAAGAGAAGGACGAGAAGCAGCTAGGCCAGCCTCAGGTGCGTCTTGACATGTTCTCTGTGAACCCCCGGGCACAAACAAGAGCATTCTGCAGTTAGACCTGACACGAACGGAGACGATGTCACATGATCCAGGAAGAAGCTGGCTTGCACCGCAACAGGCTATCATGCTAGAGACCCTGCTATATGTCCAGCCTCTTGGCTCACGTCTGGCATTTGAGTCTCCACATCAAAGCCGAAAACGTGTCCAGGTAGGGGCTGGAGTCGCACCCGCCGCCGCTTCGGTTTCCTTTCCTGAATCTGCATCTCAGAATCAGACACGCCTGCACCCAAAAGCTCGGGTGGGCCGTCTGCAGCACGGAAAGCCTCGAGGACTCCTGGCGCTTCCGGTAGGGTCAGCGCTGCCTCTGCCGCCGGCGGGGCGTCCACGCGAGCGGGGAAGACTTCATCCAGCAGCCCGCTTTCCTCGAGAAGAGACGGCACCTGCAGTGGCTCCTGTGCAGGTGCTCCGGTAGCTCCCATCGCTCCCATGGCTCCCATGGCCCCCATAGCTCTGATGTCTGGAGGGAGTTGATTGGCATCCAAAGACACCAACAGGCTGTCTCCCAGAGGTGCCTGGGTCCAGTCAAAAGCCTCCGCCTCCTGTACCTTCGCCAAATCCAAATCCAGCGTGAATGCATCCACGCGCTGCCTCTTTGCAGCTGGCTGCTTGGGCAGCTGCAGGCCTTCCGCATATGGCTGTTCGGCAAAGAGAAGAACAACTCGCTCGCAATCTGCATGTAGTGACCTTGCTCGGTCATTGTTGATCACGCAGAAGCCCTTGATCATGGTGCCATACACGCGCCTTGATATTGCACACATTGCGCACCAACTCAGTGGCAGAAAGGCCTGCTGCATCACACGACATACGTGCACTGCATGCTGCACTAAGCTAGTCTTCATGATCTTCATGAAAGCAAGGCACAGCGTCAGCGGCTTGCTCGTCTTTGGGCCGTGGTCTTCGAGAAGGCGTTCCACACGGTGCTGCACATTTAGATCAGTCTGCCGCTTGCGTGTCCTTACAGCCGAAGTTGCTGCAATCCAGGCATCTTGCCAAAGGTCCTGGTGGATGTTGAATTGTATGTCCATGTCTTCCTGTCGTATCGTAGTCCACGACGCAAATGGCACTCGGCAAGTGTGTGGAAGTGCTGTGCACGAACTCTTGCTGTCAACAAATGTTGCTTGCCATGCTTGTTGTGCGCACGCATCTCAATCTGCGATGGCATGTAGACATGCTGTCTCTTGCTCATGATTTCGAGTCTCGCTCGCCTCGGGCCAATCCTAGGCAATGCGGGTGTCCTCCCCGAGCCTGTTGCTGCCATGCAGCAAATCAGAAGGTGTCAAGGTCATCCCGACTCCAACTACTCTGTCAACATCGTCGGACGGACAAGCTTCACAAGTGGCAACATCACTGGAACGCTGCATGCCTGCCTTTTTCCCCAGCGAGTTCTTTCCCTTGGTGCTAATGTCCGGCTTCAAGCTCGCTCAGTTGCCTTTGCCACCACCCTGTGCGACAGCATGTGAACGAACGATGCTTCCGCGGATGTCTCTACAAATCGGGTGAAAACTTATTTGTGTTTTGCAAAGACTAGGCAAGCCCGTGTCACCGAACGAGCAAAACAGAACCACACGGAGTCCTTCTGCGGCGGCTTGTAGACGCGACCTGCAACAAGTCCGCTTCTTGCTTCTGGTCTCCATTAGTTGGCAAAGTTGACATGATAGCTTTAATTGATATAGACAAAAGACCGAACATGTCGGCACATGCAGACGAACGAAACTCATAAGCGGATGCAATGTCGATACAGAAATAACAGGGTTAAGTAGACAGTGACCGACTTTCTGGCGAAGATTTTCGAGCCTGGGAGCTCTGCGTGCATTTCTGCGCAAAACTGCTGCTTTTGGCAGCTTGCCAAGTTTCTCCAATCTTAGTGAGCAAGTCTTTCCAGCGGCTCAGCCCGTCGAAGGCTCTTCCTGACTCTCGATTCCTCCGGACTCTCTGACTCTGAGCTCTTCCATGAATCTGGCATTGAACTCACTTGAATGATATGAATTTCGTGGCTCGGGATGCTGTCAAAGACATCATTGAGCTTCTTCGTCACGTACGACCCAAGGATGCTATGACACGAGGCGGCTTGGTCACAAATGGGCTTAAAGTACCGCGGAGCACTGGGGATTTGGCGTCCTCCATTGCGACCCTGAAGTTTGATTCGGTCCTTGTAAGGGCTTGGAAAAACAAAGTAAAGAGGTTCGCTGCTTGGGGACGAAGAACCTTTGGGGAGGAATGATCTTTCCAATCTGAGTAGATGGTCGTCGGCGGGGTATCCTGCGGTGAGCCATGTGGTATCGCTTGTGATTCGGGAGTAGATTCGAGCAACATCCCTGCAGACCGGCTATGGTTTCAAGTGTGTGCAGAATGGTTTGTAGTTGCGGCATGGTCAATGAACGCAGGAGCGTGTCATCTGCATATTCGAGACCAAAGCAGGGGCTCTTGGTCGACTTAACATTGGTTGGAGCAACGTTTTCACGAAGGGAGGTGTCGACGTCATGAAAGATAACCCAAAGAAGAAGAACGGACAGGTATGGGCTGAGAGGGCATCCCTGTCTGATACCTGATCCAAAGCCTCCCGTGGCCTTGCTGCCAGTACTCGAATGGAATTCGAATGTACTGTTATGATAGAATGTGGCGATCAGATCAAGCTCCGGTTGCGGTGCCCTGTATCTTCGCAACGCTCTGAAACGGGCGGTGTGATCGATAGAATGAAACACCTGCTTCCGATGTAGAAACAACAAGTTGACGGGCTTGTGTGTCGTGTTATATCACTCCATCGCGCGACGAAGAACAACAAAAGGGTGCTTTGCGCCTCGGTTTGGTCTCGACTCGTACTGGGTGGGCCTAAGAAGGGCTCGATAAGCCGCGGTAGGCGAACCTGAACCATGGAAGCCAAAAACGTGCAGGCAACTTTAAGGAGCCAAATAGGTCTGTGGTTCGCGGGGTCCGTGTCCTGACCTTCTCCCACAAAGATGGCTACGACTCTGGCCTCCAGCCAAGATGACAGTAATTCCGGTTGGGCGCGAGGGCCGTTATATGTCTGCAGTACCAGTAGCTCAAGTGCTGAGATGCGTTCAAGCATCTGCTGCGGGTATCGTAAACAATTGCTGCGCGGCTTATAATGGTCTCTGACAGTCACGTGGGTTTGCCTCAAAGGAACCGGTTTGTTGCCTACCATCAAGTGAGACTTTCGGCCCCTGAAGCCTTTTTTTGATTCCGGACAACGTGCTAAACTGTGGAGTGGTCTGCCCGCGGGAGCTGCTGCGTTGGGGAAACCCGTCGGGCAGCTGCGCTTGTGGAAGCGGTTTGGTCTCGGTATATCGCGTCGCTTCCCTGTCTGGCAGTCGGCGCGCTCACTGCCTTTGTGCCCTGCGTGCGCTTTATTGGAGGATCTCAAAACTGCCTCAATGTAGTTGATCATTTGCTTGTCTTGTGGGTATCCACTTGCCTTTTAGGAACTCCAGGGGGCGTTGATGGCATGATCTGCAGTGTTGTAGCTAACTGGCTCTGCGCAGTACCGGGGCTGTCATCAGTCCGTGGGGACGGGACCGAATGCCTCAACAGACAGAAACCCCCAACCCGACGGAGTGTGGGCCGTGCAGCATCCTCTTGAACCAGAACCATCTGTATTTGTATAACGGTGTTTTTGCGGCATGGTCAGCGAGGGGCACAAGTCGATGGCCATAGCCTGCTGAAAAGCGGTAGCCTGTGCCTCTGTCAGGGATAGGTTCTGGGGAGGCTGCTTTCTTTGGGCGGCGGGCTAGCTTGATGGAAACTTCCGTGACCAAGGGGTAATGATCCAGGCAAACCCACAAAAGAGCAGGGACTTATAAGCTACATTTCCAGATGGTTTAGCCATTGCCTTCGCGTAAAGGTATGATCCAATTTCTTAAAACGAACAGACAGGACAGACAGAATCAACCTGTGACGATACTACTACAGAAAGCAAGAGTCCGAGAAACCACGAACAAGCACAAAAAACCCAGAGTTCGCCTCCTGGCCTGGTTTATGACTCTTGCTGAAAAGAGCATGGGGCTTCAAACATTTGCGGTGAGCAGAAACAGGGTCTTCCCGGCGGACCGGCTGTTCCCACAAGGGCGACCTTTCCTCAGGGATGAAAATCATGTTTCTACGAATCTCCTTGAGTCAGGCAGCATAAGCCAAAAACCGCACTGTTTGCAGACAGCCCAAGAAATTTGAAGTTTGTTTCGGTCACCATCCCATTTTCAAGGCGGCGGCTTCCTGCGAAAAGACTGCTTTCTCAGGCCAAGAAACATGGTCTGTCGGACACCTCCGAAATTTCGCGCTATTCGCTGACAGGTAAACAAAAACTCGAGCTAGGAGCCCAAACACAGATGCTTGGGACTCAAAGCTCTGCTGGTCTTTGAATATCTCTGCATCTCATGAACTCTGATGGTCGCAAGGATGTCTAGTGCCTGCTGCATCCTCACTATCCAAAGTCTCCACTCCGCCTAGTCCCGGCCTAGCGATCGAAGGCATTACGTCAACAGGAGAAGTAGCAGAGAAGAAAAGATAAATCAAGGCACTATTACGGCAGGTGCTCACAATTTTCTAGTAGTTGACTCGCATGGTAGACGATAGCCAAACCAGTCGTTGCTTAGGGCTACGAAAATAGGATTCAGCGTGTACACTTAGATTGCACTGCACGACAGCACACTCGCACACACCTTCAACCCAATGTTAATCACATCAAAAGGTTGCTGTGGCAAATTAAAAGCGGTCGGGATGCCAGTGTCCTCAGGTTGCTATACATCAGTCCGACTCAGAGTGACTCATGAGACTCGAAGCCTGGACCTCACCTCTCGGTTGTGAATTTAGTTCAGAAGCACTGCGTTCACGCTTCGGTCCGGGGCCTTCTGGACTGGCACGCAGCACCTTGTTGCGGACGCGGACCACACGGCCATGGATCGCGCAGGACACGCCTGAGTCGCGTTTCTTCTTCTCATCTGGAGCTTCGACGCATGCTATCTATAACCAGCAGGGCTCCTGTAAAAGTGTTAAGAGCAAGAAAGGTTGTAGAATGTGCTGGGGCGTCTGCGTGCACGTATGCAATGGGCATACTTTCAGTGTCTTGCGACCTGTCAACTGTCACTCGATGGCTCAGCCCAGGACAGTAGAGCATCTTCATGTAGAGCTTGGGGAGCATGAAGCTGGAGTACACACTGGCTTCGCGCAAATCTCTCTGGGAGGAGGCATCCACCTTAGTCTTAAACGATCGATAGCTGTGACCAGTCCAGCCGGGCGTGCAGGCCCGGATGTTACATCCTTCACAAACTTTTCGAGGGTTTGGGAATCCCGCACACCCCCCACCGGCCGCGGTCTATGGTCGTTGCATGAGTTCTGACCTTCGCCTTAACGACTCGGACTGTGCCGAAGCCCATAGCACGAGAGGGTAGCTCAAACCACACAGTTTGTGAATTCCTGTGAGGGTTATTGCGTGAGTCTAGGTGTCTAGCAGAAGAGTCTTCTTTGAGTGAGAGAATTGAAAGGCTCTCTAAGTCGACGGGCGTGCCAGGCAAGCCTTCCCAGCCGTGGAACAGCAGCAACCACAAAACACACAACAGCAGCATAAATTCATGCCAGGCCACCATGTTGCGGACCTGAAACCGCTTGATCGCCTTGTCCTGCACAGCGATCCACTCCGGTCCAACGTCGTTCACATGAGTGCTTTGCTTAGGGAGTGACTCTTGGCATGTTCCATGCAAGTCGTGATGTCCCACACTCGCTTCACCGAAGTGCGACGACTGCCCGATTGGGTGGTACGTCACTGCGTCGGGTATGCACGCCTACCATGCCAGCACCGAGTACGAACCGACAACGGCTCCTTCGGCACGCAGCGAGCACAGTTCGAGCAACGGACGATGGCGGTGTGGCCGCGGCCGTGCTTGGAGCGGCCGTTGTTGCGGCGCTTGGAAGGCATGGCCTGAGAAGTCCATAGAACACGAAAAGGTGGAAGGCGAAACACAGGCCCAGCCATTGCTTGACAGAATAAAAGTGTATAGAAGGGGGGATGCCAAGCCCCGTTGATCGTGGCATGCTTGTGCTGAGTTCAGACTTCTTGACAGGCGTCCACTGCAAGTCATCTCTAGAAAGATGGGCCATGACACCTTCACAGTGGTCCCACGAAAACTCATACCCAATGCAAGCAAGGCTGCTGATGCTGCAAAGGCGGATGGAGCTGGGGGGCGCTCGCGCTCAAGATCCCTTCACAGCACAACGGGCAACGAACAATCGTCCTGGCAAGGTGCACCCCTTCTCACGATGCTGCTCTGTACACGAGTCCCTTCTCCTGCGTCCGCAACATATCATGCACGCTGACCTTGTAACTTCCCTCCTCGCGATCTCCGTCTTTGCAGACACTATCACTATCCTCTTCCATCTGTATGTACAACTTGCTGCAGGAAAGCTTGAACATCCAATGAGTCTGCAGAAGGCTTGGGACACGATGTATCGCCACCCACTCAATGGGAGTTCCTCTGTAGCTGGACATCTATCTGTGTGCATCTCATCCGCCGTCGGCCGGGCACGCAACTGAGAGCAGCAGCGGCTTCCGCCGTCCTGGCTCTCCGGGTGGGAACCTCCACCAGGGCACGGCTCAAGTCAGAACCGAGTTCACAGGTGCCAGTCTGGGCCCGCAGGCAAGAGAAACCTGCTCTGGCTCATGGCTTCCCTACAGGCCGAGTTCCAGGCGAAGGCTCGTCGGAATCGTGCTTGCCTCGTTGCAGAACCCATCCGGACTTGAACTGACTTCAACAAACGCCGTGCTGCACAGTGAGAAAGTATGCGAGTGCACGGCTCCTGTTGTGACGCTGAAACATGGACATGCTGCTGCGATTCTCGTGACCATTCCGACATGCTCCGACCTGAACCCAATCTAGGCAATAAGCTGGCGCTATGGGCATGCAGGGGCGGGCGGGCCGGAGTGTCCATCTTCCTATCTATCTATCTATCCATCTGCCTACCTACCTACCTCACTACGTATCTACAGTTCCCATCTATATGTGTTTGTGCGCCGTATCGATGCGAGCACGGCTTGGCTCGTATTCTGGTCCTAAAGAACGATGCAAGTTGTGCCTTCCCTTCACTTTTAAACGCTCGAAACCCCATTGCAAAGCGTCTGTCATGGCCGTGCGGCTCAACTCGTCCCACTCATCCATGGGCGCAGTGGCATCATTGGATCCCTTGAGGATCCTTGGTGCTGGATGAGGTTAAGACATGTTTTTTTAGGTCAGGGAAGAGTTGCCAAGCGACCACTTCTTTGGGTGGGTGCCGTCAGGACCGGAGCCTGAGACGATCGCGTACCTTTAGGGTTTAGGTTTAGGGTTTAGGGACAGTCCTGCAAATCCGCACTGAAACCTGCTGGCCAATCTAGGGGTTGGTCAAGGAAAGGAAGATGGGTCCCGGGCCGTCACAGCTGTCACCGAAGGTGGCATTTACGCGTCTCGTAGGGGTGTGGAACTCCTGGGTCGGGCCTGCTTAACCCCGAAAGCTCCAAAGCAGCTCGCAGCCGCCTGCACTTCAAGACTTCGGGATTGAAGCTGCTTAGAATCGTGCAACCTCTTCTGCAGCAGTCTATATTCTATCTTCACACACATACATTCATTCATTCATTCATGCATACACTGTCATATGTATATACGTCCACTGTATGTCTGCACACACCTATATATATATATATATATTAACACACACACACACACCCAGAGCATGCATGAATGAACTATGCAGAAAACATATCTGTCAATACATGTTGTGTTCGTGAACTGAGTTTAGTCACGTATGTCAGTAACTAATTCGCTTGCTTTTTGCATGCGACGTGTATTCAACTATCTCTATGTCGCTATCTACACACTAGCTGTCCATCTATGCATCTATTTCCTGCAGCACAGCTGAGGGACATGCTGCAAGCATGCCCTGCTGCCTCTTTCTCTCACTTAGTGGGGGCACTCGGTCAAGAAGTTCTGCTCGCCCAGGTCCTTGCATGGATTAGTTCCGAAGGACCCAAAAAATCTATTTCAATCCACGTATCCTGAGATTTTCTGTAGTCACGGAGCAACATACAGCAAGAGTCTGCAGGGCCACCTTTCTTGAATGCCAGAGCGCGAGCCCTGAATGAATCTACAAGCGAGGATCCGGACCCATGGAGAGACCTTGTCACGACAGCACGCAGACAGTCCTAGACAATAAACCCAAAGCATCTGTGCGAGCCGTGCGGCCACGATTAGCTTCGCAGCCAGCCGCCCACTGTCACTGCTGCCCTCCCAGCCGGCCTCTACCTTTGGGGATCGTTTCAGGCTACTTGCCGATGCGTGTGGTATGCCATGGTGGCATACCCAGTTGCTCTGCAACCACAGCATTGCTTTGCATCAAATGGTAACTACGAAACTGCAGGGGCTTCGCCGCTTGGGCCCTTGCAATGGAAGTGTCCACCTCAGCTTCCAGTGTCTTATGTCCACGGGGTGGGCTGGCTCTGCGACGATGATAACTCACGACAGCCTCGAACAGGACGGAACACTGACCCTGGTATCACGACGGAGCGAGGAAACTTCTTCACAAGTGTCTTCGACGAGCTGCGCCGGTCGTGGTCGTCGTGGTGGTGGTGACGGCGACCTTCCCAAGCTTCCACAGCTCGCTCGGGAAGGGGCTCTCATCGCAAGCCCGCATGGAAACCTAAATCAACAATGTCGTGCAAAATGAACCGGCCTACCGACAACAATAACTGAAACAGTACCTTTCAGAAGCGCCGCAGGGTTTAGCTTCTGGGACTGGCGGCAGATCCATTGCTGCTAACATGGGTGCAGAAGCACGACACGTTTACTCTATGAGGCTCCAAACTGCACCGACGTTCACGAGATTTCACGAGACTCACATGCACCCTATGCACACGCTCTGCAGTCCACGGAAGCCAGCAGGCAGCAAATACACCGCATCTCGCGCTCGTCATGTGGTGCCTCCTCTTGGCGCTCGTAGTATGATGCCTTGTCATCATCCTCAGGCGCAAGCAGAGTTCTACAATGTACCCGGTGCAATGTTCTGTACTGGCACGGCACAGGCACTGTGAACTTCTAGATTTACGTTTCCTGAGTTCGATTTTCATCACACTCCTATGGTGCGTGTAGTCCGCCTTGTGGGCCTCAGTGACCTTGCTTGGTGTTGAGCTGGACGGGATGTAAGCACAGGCAACTTTCCGCTATGGGTTAGATGAATGCCTTGCTTGGCTGGTCTTACAGGAGCCGTTGCAGAATGTAAGGCCCAGAACAGGACAAGTGCAATTCCATCGGCACCAAAAGAAGCAAGCAGATGCTAACCCCACACCTCACATCCTATACTCCCCCCTACGCTTTCAACCCATTTCTCAACCCGCCTAACACTTCAACCTTTAAATCCCTGAAAACACAAAGCACCTCCCAACAATCAATACAATTATCCCGAAAACAAAGCAACCCACCAACCCAATACAATAATCCAGAACACAACCCAAAACCCAAAGCACCTAAACAATACTTAACCTAATCCATAAAATAACCAATATCCTAACATGAGGTGTGGGGTAAGACCCNNAAAAATCCCAAAAGATTATAACCCTGTCCGCTGGATTGACTACAACATAGGATTTTACTAGAACTAATTAGTATAATGCTATTAGTGTTTATCCATTCATTATGGCATAAAGTTTTGCCATTCCCTCTAGTTCTGCGAGATTTTCATTTGTCATGTTTCTTTGTAAACGTTCTTGATGGTTCTTGGATTTCTCGTGTTGTGATTTCTTGTATTTCTTGATGTCATAACCACATATTTCACAATAGTAAATTAGTAAATGATTTGTTGGTATTCTTGTTTGTTTTTGCTCGTCCTGCTTCGCTTTGCTTGAATTTCTTTTCCTTTCCTTTATTTCATCAGCATACTTTTCTTCAGCCTTTTGCCTGTATGCTTTTACCTTCTCAGGATTATTTAATTTCCATTGCTTTTTGGTTTCGCCCGTCTTTAGTTTATTCTTTTCTCTACAACAGTCGCATATACGAACTCTAACATGGAACATATCAGACGAGTAGGTATTATTACACCGAATACACCTTTTCATATCTTCAGTCATCCCTTTCTACTATACCAAGTCTTCAATTCTTTAAAATGTTTTTTGCAAAATATGTGTTTTGTAAAATACAGTGTCTAATATGCTCTCTCGGTCGTCAAACGTAATCTCATAATATTCCAATGTCTCTTTTTTTGGAAACTTAATGTCCTTGTTATTCAGTTTCTTTACATATACATTCTCTTATTCTTATAAACATCACTATCTTTATCCATTGGTTTTTGAACTGGCTTAGGTTTATTAAGAAATTCTTCAAGTCTTTTCTCAATAAGTTCTAACTTCTCTAAAACCTTTTGACAGCTGATGCGCTTGATTGGCATTACAACATCATCTACATCGCTCATACTATATAAAAGCTTTAGATTAAAACTTCTTTTAAAAGCTTTACGAAAAACGCGTTTAAAAACCCTTATAAAAACATAGTTTTTGCTTATAACCCTTCGTGCTATTTAAGCATCTCCTACACCATTTGTTATACTCTTTGCTTTTATTTAAGCCACGAAAGCATTGTATATCACGACATATCTTACAATTAGGACAGTGTTTGATATTATTCAATTTATATTCAGGTTTATAGTTACCAGTAATGTTAAACGATACAACAATTTCATCAACATATATTGCCATTTAAACAGAAGGATTTTATAATATTATTATCAAAGCATTCACAAACTAATTCAGCACTATCTTATGTAATGCTGGTGCATTAGGGCATGTGCCGTAATGCGATTGAATGTATCTCATTACTTCCCTTTCACGAGTTCATTCCAGTGAGACACTGGGGTTGCTATCACAGGGGCGTTTTCTTCTCCTTCTTCCAAAATGGCACACTTGCCTCTGTCATATTGTAATATAAAAAAATCCTTAAGCTACTTTAAAACTTATATTTATTTATATCTTCTATATCTTTTTTCATTAAATCAACATCAGTCTTTAATTTCTCTAATCTCTCTTCTAATTCTTCTGGTGTAATTCTGTTTTCTTTGTCATTCCATCCCGTGCTACATGTTTCAACACTTCCATTTTGCATATCAGATTGAAATATACCTGTTTCATCGGGACTAACATTTCTACCCGCAAATTTAGTATTTCGTTTATCTATGACTGTATTCGTTGTTATTATATTGTTCTCCTTTGTTGTTTTAGTCTCCTGATGAAAAAATTGCCTCTTGCATCTGCACGGAATACAAGATAGACCACGGGCATTAACACGAAATCCTTTACCGTTGCTGTTTTCGCTTATATCACTCATTTATACTATTTAGATTTTTTCATATTCTTGAAATAACAAACAACTAATTTCAAAAACTCTATATTTTTTATAGCAACATCTGCGGTATTTAGGGGCAGTTATTATTGTATCTAACTTTTCTAACTCGTCCAAAACTTCTGAATAGTCATCATAGTCGCGAGCATACAAGTCTCGCGAGGCATCTGCCGGTGCGTCGCCCATATATTAATAACGATATACTTTTTCTATGTATGATTAATAATGTCTGGTATACCCTATATAGACCAATAAACATACCCGAATATAAGTATAAACAAAGCAAATATGAAATGACGCCAAAATTACCCTTCCGTTCAATTGTTGTGGCATCAAGCACAGGTGGTAAAACGGTTCTCATCCAAAACCTTTTACTTAATATTTACCGTGGTTCTTTTGAAAGAGTGTATATATTCTCGCCTTCAATTCATAGCGACCCAGCTTTTTACGAAGTAAAGAAATACCAGAAAGAAGTAATGAAAGTGGATGATACGAAGGAAGACCTGTATTTTGAAGGGTTCAACCCGTCAGACTTACAAAAAATATTAGAGAGACAAAAGAAAGTCATTGAGTTTCAGAAGAATAACAAAGAAAAAGATTTATTCAGTATATGTATTGTAATTGACGACCACAGCGACGACCCCAAGTTTATTAGATATTCTGATATGCTACACGGTTTATTTACGAGGGGAAGACATCAAGCGGTCAGCTGTATTTTGTCACTACAAAAGTATTCTTCTACTGCTCCAACTCTTCGCCTTAATGCGAGATCTTTATACATACTTAAACTAAAGAATATGACAGAGGTTAATAGTTTCTTAGAAGAAAATAGCGCCCTCGTTGATAAAAAGACATTGTATGATATGTATCAACAAGCGGTGAATGATGTGCCTTATTCATTCTTCTATATAAATATGAACAGCAAAGATATTAACAAGATGTTTTATGTGAGAGTTGAAAAGGCATTCATCATTGACGATGAAGCAGAATAATAATTAATTTCCATAATGATATTAATTAAAACAAACTGTAATTACAATTTTGAATAGGCAAACGATGCATTATTTTATCACTCTTCTTTTCTTTTACTTCTTTTATTTCCTTTATCATTTCTTTTAATACTTTAATTTGCAGTTTATCAATATTGCTTAAATCTAAATCATTTTCATTAATACTGTGTTTAGTTGATTAATACAATCATTCTCATTATCATTTTTTGATATTCTACTACCCATATTATACTATAACATATATTATTTTCCTTTTCCTTCTCCCTTTTCATCGCCTTTACCTTTACCCTTCAGTTTTTAAACCTCTTTCTTTAAATCATCTATTTCATTTAGTGAATATTGTAAAGCAGACCAAAGCAAGGGAGTTGTCATACTATAATCAAATTCTAAGTATCCGTCCCTGCCTTCTCTAACAAGATTGTTCCATTCTGATGGCATTTTATCAATTAAAAAATCATTAGCAATGAAACCACAATGCGACCTATCACCGTATTTTTCGTTATCAATAAATTTGTATGTTTTAGGGACAAGGTATTTTACTAATTCAACTGCTTTCTTTGTATTTATGTCTCTTATATCCTGCTTTAATCTTTTATCACTACTTGGTCCAATACTTCCTGTATAAGAAATATCACCGATTACATCAATGCCTCCATCGTTAACTGCTAATACATTTTTAGTTCCTATTTCAGTTATTGTTTCTCCGTTTGTATCTGGGTCTCTAAAAAATATTTGGTCTACTGGTCCTGCTAATTGAGTATGTGTAATATTTAACTTTTCAAAAGAAATTAACGGAATTACCTAATACTCTAAATTCTGGAGTTCCTGTAAAATTGACATCTACATCAAATTCTCCTTCTGCTGTTAATTTACCAACTACATTAACTGTCTCATTACAAGTTGTCGCTTTGTTTAATGTTATTCCTGCACTAACGTTTAAATTTATAAATATTTCACTTGCCTGTGGGTCAGCACTTCTATTAGATTGTATTGAAAAGTTTTGTTCTATCGTGGAAATACAATTTAATGAAAAGTTCGCATTTGACTGCTGATATATTCTTCCTCTACTATTAATTAAACTATTATTATTAAATGTTTTATCAGAAACATTAAATAAACAATTACCTGAAAAATTACTACTTCCTCCTCCTGCTACATTTAATCTCGTTGCTCCTCCTGCTATTGCTCCAATCCCTAAATTATTACAATATACTGCTCCACCTGCTGTTGCTGTATTCAATACTAATAATGATTGACTATCATTTGAAGTATTATAAGCATTAATATTAAATGAATGCATTTTAATATATCTTGTGCGTTCTTAACTGCTAAAAAATTACTGGCGTCTGTTGTATTTTTAAATTCTTCGATACCATTAGAACTTGTTGATGTTATTGTATCACCGCCCATTGTAATATTATTTTCTACTTCTAAACTATCTACTTTTGTTGCTCCTCCTACACTTAAAAAGTATCCGCTTTCATGTGCTTTACCTAT